ATTCATGAGTATGATATTTTTTTTTAATTAAATAAATCAAATGTCGACACAAAAATCGTCTTTTTGAGAATATATCTGTATAAGAAAAAAATACATGCAGGAAAAAAATGTTAAAAACATCTAGACTGTGTCTTTTGGACTTCTGTTAGTAATCCTCACATACTCTTTCACCTCTGCACCATATTAAAAGCTTGTTGGTTCGTGCCTGAGGACTAGTGATTGTATCAGAGGTTCAGTTAAAGGTAAACAGGTTAGGAAGAGTTTTCTTTGACAGGCGGGAGTCAGCTACAGTCCAGAAACTAATGATAATCCAGTCAGTTCATCGAATTAATCTATTATCAATCTCTATGCTATAAATCTATCTATCTCTACTCTATCCATCCACCCATAGTGTGTTTGCTTCAGTTTCTGAGCTCAGGCAGTGTGTGTGGGTTTGGGTGGATCAGGAAGAGAACTGAGGACTTCTGGGCTCTAAAGGTCTGATGATCTGGTCACTTTTGAATGTAAACTACACTCTTAGAAGAAAAGGTTCAATATAGAACATTAAAAGGTTCTACGTATTTGGAACCCCTTAAAGGTTCTATACAGAACCCTTTTTAAAGGTTCAATATTAAGAATCCTTTAGGGTTCTTTGTAACCAGGAATAAGGTTCGATATGGAGCCTTTTGGGTACATTCATTATCATTTGCTTTGTCCTTTCCAGATTAAATATTTCATATTATTGACAAACATCAAGACCCTAAAATGTATTTATGAATGCATGTTCAGGATATGGGGGTTAGAAAATGTATATATTTAATGTAGTTAATCAATATCACACAAATTTCTTTGGAGTTGAGTAAATAACCCTATGCTTCATATATGGAACCCCAATGAACCCTTTTTTCTAAGAGTATATAAACGGCATTCCTCTTTCATATCAATATAAAATACAAATAAAATTAGACTTGCTTGCCTGGCAGTAAAAATAGTTTAAGAGAAAGGAATGTGGAATATGAAGTCGGCTTGGCTGCCACATTTTATACTGGAAGCGAAGTTAGTCCATTCTCTTCCTTTTGGAATGAACCAATAGGAATCTTTTCTTTGCAAGAGTTTATCAATAACATTTTTTAATCAGATTTCAGATGCATACATGACATTTGCAAATAAAACCTCTCAATCTTTTTCTCACATTACATCAAGGCGGAGCCCTGATAAATGGTTCCCTCCCCTTCCCTCTTGATGAACAGCTGAGGCAGCCAATGAGCTGAAGGCAGAGCACAAATCACTGCGTTCTATCATTGGCATTCACGTTTTCTTTGCTTCCCACAACGGCTAGAGACCACAGAACCAAAGAGCTGTAATTGTGTGTGTTTACAGACTGGTATATTGGTGCCTGGTGAAGTTGGCAGGACAGCTAGCAATACTCAACATCCTGTGCTTTTTGACGTTTTAACACTTTTGTCCTCTTTTGCTGTTTAGTGCTTTTGAGAACAGAAAACCTTTCAGCTCAAAGTTTTGTCTTGCTGCAGCAGACCAAAAGTGAGTTTCCCAGATGTGTGATGATATACTGCACCACATTTGCCCTCTTCCAGAGTTAGAGAGGGGAAGGGAGGTGGGAGAGAGAGAGAGAGAGAGAGAGAGAGAGAGAGAGAGAGAGAGAGAGAGAGAGAGAGAGAGAGAGAGAGAGAGAGAGAGGAGGCCAGACAGATGGACCCACTTAAACTATTCCTCATGTGTGCTGTTATATGGAAAAGATTTCACCGTTTGCCTTTACTGAGACTGCTTTAGTTTAACCATTTAATGACCCACTCCCATGCAGGATTCAACTTTGCTTGGCTCTGATCAAATACAATCTTAAGTTTGTATTAACCAAATAACATGATCTTTACTTATTAACTGCATTATTGAAAATATTTGAAGATTTAAGATATATTGAAGATTTACTTTGCATGCATGCATATACATGAAACAGTGTCTATTTTTAAGAATCTCTAGAATAGCACACCCTCAGTTCCTACTATTTATCAGTAAACTTATGTGATTTTCCAAAAATAAATAACTCAATATACTTTTGTGCAGGATATTTTATTCGACTGCTTTGATATATTGAAGATTTTTATTTGAATGCAAGAATATACATGATATAAAAAAAACTAATATTTTGTGTGCAGGACAATTTATTTTACCTACCTACACTGTAAAAATGAATATGCTTTATCTAATTAATAAAATTATGGCAACAGATTACAAGCAATATGATTATATTATTATAATTAAATTGCACAAATTAGAATTGAGTAATAATTAATCAAATTATTCCTTAAAGGTTAACCATTTAAAATAAGTAAAGTTTACACTAAAAAATTAAACAAAAATATCTGAATAACAGACATACGTCAAAGATTAAGAACTCTTTATGTTATATTGCCAACATTAAAGACACAGCAGAATCACTGAAGGAGAAAACCGTAATTTTAAAACAAACCAAAAACACTGATCACCATAATGGTGACTTAAATGTACTTTTAAGGTTTACTCATTTTAAATAGTGAACATTTAAAGAATTAATTTGATTAATTATTACTCAATTCTATTGTTAAATTGAATTAATAATATTGCTTGTAATCTGTTGCCACAATTTTTTTGATTAGATAAAGCACATTCATTTTTACAGTGTAAACAACAAAAAATATATATTCATATAGTGATATCAACTGCTTTGGAATATTGAATATTTATTTTGCATGCATGCATAAATGTGAAATCTAAATAAAATAAAATAAATAATTTTGTGCAGGACATTTTTTTTTGATAGACAACAAAAAATTTAATTTTAAAATATTATTATAATAATAAATTATTAGAAAATTCCATATATATTTCATTTCATTCTGGTATAAGGTCCTTGTGCTGGACAACTCCTTGCCGGTCTTAAAAGGTATTATATGTTAGCTTTTTTTCTCAAACCACTGCAGACCCATCTACCAATTTAACTGGCTGTGCACCCCTGTGACATTGTGCTTGTGTATTTTTATACCTCTTATTATGCCTTTGCTGACCAGACTTTGAGTCATGTGGACACGGAATAAAACTAACTATGTGTTAGGCAGAAGCAAGGGTGGTTCCCAGCTTTGATTCTCTCCACTTCTCTCATGAGAAGGTTACGTTCTTGACTTATCTCACAGATGAAGAACGCTAGTTGTCAGATGATGATGGTGTCCAAAAGCATATTCAAGTTCGATTTTAAAAGTGATAATTTAATAGTGACCAGCTACCATGATTGTTTCAGCAAAGACAATGATTAGATACTAACAAATCTTGATCAATAGCCATTAAAGACGCAAGAATGTGCATTAGTATAGCACTGATTTACTCTGTTCATTTTTGCTGCAGATTTTTCTCTTTTCATATGGAAAGGTCATCACCGCAGAGTCCAAAGTAAGGAAAAAGGATATCAGCCTTGGAGCATAGCCTGTAATTTCAAAACCTCAGTGTACTTTCTTTCTCTCTGTGCGAGTGTGTCCTCTTCTCAGTCAAATGAGTTCTAAATTATGGGAGTGTGAGCTCCTCCTCCTTAATGACCTACTGTCTCAGTGCTTTCTCAAAGATAGGATAATTGACATGCCACACCAGCAGACCAGCTCTCCTGCAGCAGTGCCTGCGTATCCCATATATAAGCTGAAATCCCTTCCACCCACTATGAATCACTGACAATATTCACAATAGACTCTAAAAAATGCTGGGTTGTTTTAACCCAATTTTGGGTCAAATATGGACAAACTCAAACATTGGGTTAAAAATTTTATTAAAAATATTAACCCAATTGCTGGGTTTGTCCATATTTGACCCAAAATTGGGTTAAAACAACCCAGCGTTTTTTAGAGTGCATAAGCCATAACTATTGGGTAATATATGTGGGTGCACTGTATATAATATAATATGTGGGTGCACTGTGTATAATTATTTTGTGTGTGTGTGTATATATATATATATATATATATAATATATAAATAATATTGGTAACACTTTACAATAAGGTTCATTAGTTAACATTAGTAAATGCATTAACTAACATGAACTAGCGATCAGCAATGCATTAGTTACAGTGTTTATTAATCTTTGTTAATGTTAGTTAATACAAATACAGCTGTTCATTGTGCGTTCATGTTAGTTCACAGTCCATTAACTAATGTTAACTAATACAACCTTTGATTTTAATAACGTATTAGTGAATGTTGGAATTAATATTAACTAAGATTAATAAATGCTGAAGAAGTATTGTTCACATATTGTACATGTTAACTAATGTAGTTAACTAATGTTAACTAATGAACCTTATTGTAAAGTGTTACCATTCAAGCATGTATGTGTATATATATATATCATTTTATATCAAATATTTATATATAATATAAATTATATATAAATCTATACACAGTATATACATGAAAATATTTTATATACAAGCATGTGTGAGTATTTATAAATAAAAAATAATTATACACAGTGCACCCACATGTATTATGTAAACACAACCTTTTTTTGGATGCGATTAATCGCAATTAATATATATGTATATATATATATGTAAAGAGTATATATCAATGTATGTAAAGACTATCAATAAAGAGATAAGAGGGAGAACTGCAAGTGTTGAAGTCACTCTGCCAGCACCACCTACAGTCAGTGAGGAGACGGGTTGTTTTAATGCATGGTTGACTGAAAATGCCTTACTTGGGCGCGTCTCCTACACCTTCAAGAATGACAGATCTTTAGGAACTCCTCAGAGGAAGCACCAGCTCAAGTCCCTTTGCCCATAAAAACACTAAATAAACGTATATTCTCTTGTTAAATATTATGTTTGAGTTGTCTCTTGGCCCCTTAGTTTACCTGTGAACCTACACTGTGTACATTTGGTTTTCACACTTGTGTCTGACCGCGTTAGCTACATGCTGTGACAGCCACACTGGTATGAGAGTCTTGTACTGATCATGTTGCAGCTAGCTGGCAGGTGTACGGTGAAGAAACTCTAACATGAGGCTACTGTGGTCCATGTACCTCCTCTGCTCTGCCTCTGGATGTGGAGAAATCTGGGTTGAGCGTGCAGCCAATCACAAGAAGCCTGAGCTCAGCACATCTGGAACCCAACAACATACAGCACCAGCAGATCTCTCAGAGTCTGGAGACCTCAGTGGAAAAAGAAGAGTTCTGCAAAATGGCCGACAATAAAAAGCCGAGCAACATCTGAAAAGCACAAAAGAGATTTCCAATATTATTTGGACTGGGTCTGATGTCATGAAAGTGAATGGCGTATGTTTCAGAATTATTTTACTGCACAATAGGCATTTACTATATCATAAAACTAAGACCACATCTAAATAATAAACAAAATAGACATGCAATTGAAATAAAAGGATCCTCTGCACCGTCCAGACAAAGGTTAGTCTTGTTCAGTATGGAAAACTGAACAGTTTGCAGAACCATACAAGATTATTTCTTACAATTACTGAACTTACATTTGTATTTTTACATTATATTACAGTGACAAAAAGTATATGCTCTTTTGTCAAACAAAATATTAATAATATAACTATTATTAACAATAATTTCCCTTAAAAAAGTTAAATCTTTAAGTACAAGCAACTTGGATTGTTAAGTCATTTCAACTTAAATTACATTAAACTTAAAAATTAGTTGAATCTTGTATAACTTGTAAAAAGGTTGCAAAATGTTGAGTTAAAGCAGTGTAAAAACAAGTTGTCTTACTGATCATATAATTTTTACAGTGATGTATATGCACTTTTACTAATTAGCAAGTTGACTTCTTTTCTATATAGGTCAAACTAATTCTAAAAATGTTTCATATATGAATCATTGTGTTATGAATATGGTCAGTTCAGCAACTGTCTGAGTATGTTTTTCTCAATTTCATCTTCTAGTTCACTAGTGCAGAACACAAGCACTGTTCTCAAATCTCCATCTAGTCTAGTTTCTGCTGAACTCCATGTTTGACTGAACATGAGTGCCTGGCCATCTTTGAAACACATTTTGCTCTCGTTTGCTCCTCCCCTTCAATGCTTTCCCTGCTTTAACTACAAGCGAGATGCCTGGACATTCCAGCAATGACTAATATTTTTCTGGCACAGAGAATTGAAGCCCTAAGGAAAGAAATAGCGTAGCGCCATTTAAATAAAGCATGTTATTCATCTTCTTTAGGCCTATTCATGCATATTCACAATATTATAATTTGCCACAGTTTTATGCCTGACAAGAACTTCCCACAAATATGAGATCTTCAGTAAAATAGGCTGGCTGAGATTTTTGAAAAACCTAGAAAGTGTCTACTTAAGTAAAGAACAAGTACTTGTCAGACGCACTCATGTACAGACGTCATTAACACTTGGGACAATAATGAGTGTGTTACAGTCAGTCCCGCTGAGGAGTCTAATTAAGTACTCATAGTCTATGAACTTTCCCATCCTGTCCAATTAACCATTTAAACAGTGGGTGGGCTGTAACAGACCATGAGAGTTTATTAAACTGAAGAAAACAAACATGCTTTCACATTAGTTATCATTACAGAGTTTCTATTTACACCAACTGCAAATAACTTCATTTTGTACCCAAAACAGTGTCTCTCTTCAAGGACAAAGGGGTGGCAGGTGCCAACAACGCAGCATCAATTCCTATACAATAAAAATGTAAACTATTGTTATTTGCAATTATATCATCTGCTATATCATTATGAAGTGCATATACATCACTTATACATTATATCACACACTGTAAAAAATGCTGGGTTGTTTTAACCCAACCATTGTGTGTGTTAAAAATGTCATTTAAAAATGTAACCGCTGTATACAACCGGTGTGTAAATGTAATAGCTGGGTTTGTCCATATTTTACCCAAAATTGGGTTAAAACAACCCAGCATTTTTTAGAGTGCATGCTTATATGTGCATGTGAGTCTACTGCATCTTCTATACTCCTTATAATAGAACCAAGTTTCCTAATAACAGAGCATTACGGTAAACTGCGATAGGCTATCCTGTAGTCAGAAACTACTGTAATGGCCAGTTCAGGCTGTTCACACAGAAAGCACTTTCCCAAACACGCACCAGAAGATGGACAACTTTAACCATTGCGCATGACAGGCGTTCTAACAAGTTAAAGTTAAACTTTTTTTTAAAAAGTGACTTTTTTCGGTCCATTGACCGCAAAACCATGCAAACAGAGAAATATTTTAACAGCAAAAAGTTCCTAAAAGTTAACAGAAAGTTCCTCATAGTTTTCTTGTTTTTTTTCCAAATCAGTTTTGTATGTTGCGGTTTTATGTTATATTTAATGTTGTTAAATCAATGTTTATTGCAGTTTTTTTTTAATTTAATGTGTGTTACCATGATGGTGTTTAATGTTTATGTGAATGACACTGTGCAGCTTCTGTGTATAAGTAAAAACCTTCTTATGGAAATCTACTTGTGATGAGTTTTGATTGATCATGTGACTCTCATCACTGTTGTGATGGTTATTGGTTGTTAGTGCATTATAATCTGTAATGCACTGACCAACCAATTTTTACAAGTATGTAAAACCATTACCGTCCTACACCGTATTTTTTAACGGTAAAGTTCTGTAAACCACAGCTGCCGTTTATTACCGTAAAAAATTACGGCTTTATTTTTTACAGTGAAAAAGGCCCTATTTGAGGCGACAGCCATTTGTAGTAGTGTCTGAATTTGAAACCATAGTGGAAGTTATCGAGCACACTCATTCAATCCCATAATGCACCGATATAAAGAGTGTACAAATGATGTACAGTCAACAGCTAGAAAATACCCAGAATGCACTGAGGGTCATGTCATACAGCATATCATACAGGTATTAAATTGTTTATTTAAGGTTTTTACTTTCTAGTTTACCATTTAACAGCAAGCACAAACTATGCAAAAGCGGCAGCCCTTCCAGCGCACACTCACTCGTTTCCATTCACTCCTTGAATTGGAGTAAATTAGCAAACTAATGTAGAGAATACTGAAGGAGGGTATAGTGGATGATTGGTGCTGCAAAAGTCAAACACGTCCATCTAGCTTGCGTTTACATAGAAAAACAATGGAAAAGTAGTGCAGTGGAAAGGGAAAAAAATCCATTCTGTGTGAACCGGCCCTTATGGGATCACATGGCTACATCAGTTAAATATTATTAATGATTAAAGGCTAGAATGCACATGCAAACTCATTTTTGTGGTGTTATTTCTGTTAGTAAACTCAGATTTGAAAACAAAGTAAAGGTGTATTTGGTGAGCATGCCATAGGTTCCGAACACCACATTCAGCAGAAGACTAAGTGGTGTGTTCTGGGTGCAGACATGTCTGGTCCTGTGGCCAGAGATGCACTGAGAAAGGAGGATCTGAAACTAGATCTCTCAGGCCAGCCTTTACTCTTCCATCTAAAGGAGAACTAAAGTGAAGGTCTTCGGCAAAAGTCTAAGAGTTTGAAAAATGAAGAAAAAAGACCTGAGGCCAGCCAAATGGACATCTATGGATACAAGAAGGATAAAAAAGAGAAATCTTGGTTACACTTTACTTTGATGGTACACTTTAGATATTAGCTCTCATTAAACTGAAACTTTAGTAGATTACGGTTAGTAGTTGACATGTAGCTGCAAAGTTACTTAAGTTAGTAGGAGGTATGTTGGGCGACCATCAAAATAAAGTGTTAGCGAAATCTTTTTATTATTATTCAGACAATTCATCAGAAAGCTAGGAATAGGGCTAAAAACGTAAAATTGTATTATTTTATTACAAAAAGCATGATTTTTCATAAAAATGACAAAAACATGATATTTTTAAAGTCATGAGGGTCTTGTGTCTTTTGTCACATGACAACAAAATGGCTTCCTGCATGTTAGTTATGCCACTCTGATTAGCAGGAGACTTTTAATATTTGTAATTTATTTTAAATGCTCCACTTACTTTGTTAAGAAATAATAATAATAAATTAATACAAATATCAAACTATTTTTTTATCGTCAAACAATTTCAGTCTTTTACTGATTTAAAAATTCAAATAAAAACACACAGATTTTTTTTCTGAGTCACAAAAATAGCACGACTTTATTCATAACCCTGAAAAGGTTCAACACTGAATAATTTGTCTGAATTTAATTTTTAATGCAACGAAAACATGTTTGATCCACAATAGGAGTGCAATAAGCTTCACTTTAGACAAACAAACAAAAGTAATTGCAGACTGTGGCCATCCTTTATAATTAATAGTCTAAAAATGATTTTTAAAAGTTTCAGGGTGCGCTACCTACAAGACAAAGCAAATAGGTTAAGTGCGTAAAAAGGAAAAAAAATTGCCGTTCAAACACGCGCGCATTGACGACCTGATCATAAGGTCTAGGCCTGACTTATTAACCCTGCATAGCGAGTATTCTTCACCTAGACAGGCTATATCTCCCGTCCCGGGGTCAGAAGCGCATTGTGAAGATGCGTCAAACGCGCAAAATGTGCCACAATTGTCGCTTGACGCGCTCAGATCCATCCATTCTACAAGCGCCATTGAAAAGCCTGAGAAAAACGCAAAGCTTTTCTCTTTTAAACCTCGACCATGTCCACGTCCTCAAAAGAATGGATCTAATTAAAACGTTGTACTCGTCATCATTGTCAGAGCATTGCCAAAGTCTGAGAGAAAGAGAGAGAGGCTGGGATGAGGGCAGTGCTAGGATGAGAGTCATATAGAGTCTCTCTCTCCCATTGGTTTGGGGGCTCACTCTGGACACGCAGTCAAGGGAACCTCCTGCCATATAAATAGGGCTGGTAGCTCTTTATTATTCTAGCATCACGGCAGCAGGTTCCTGCTAAGTTTGGAGTTTATACCACAACTGTATGCCTGCTTGAGTTAAAACCAGGGCACTGCAGCACAAGGAGTCTGCATGTCGGTTTAGACATGCTCAGCTTTGTGGATACCCGGATTCTGTTGCTGCTTGCAGTGACTTCGTACCTAGCATCATGTCAATGTAAGTCTGAAATATGCTTTTTTTGGTTTAACCAAGGATCTTTCTTCTTCTACTGGATTTGCTCCGCTTGTTTGGTTGAACCTTGCTGGGAAATTTACCTCAAGGAAAGCTAGAACTACATCTGAAGAATTGAGGCGTTTCCTTTTGGCTTTCCACTGTAAAATCCAGCGGATCCTTTTAATGGATACTTCGCGGTCTTGGATATTTTCATCTGTTGCGATTGAGAAACGGAAACACATGGCATAGTTATCAAATAGCCTACTATTATCAAAAAAAGTTTTTAAAATAGTCAAGGACGGCTGGTTAAACGTGTTTAGTTTATTGTTAGGGTGCTGTAGGCTACTACCTCATCTTTGTCCCAGACTCCAGGAGTGTTTTTTTTAATTAAGGGGGGGTCTGTAAAATCTGCCCCCTGCTGGCTGAAGTCTGTAACATCACATTTCAGCAACATCCTAGACAATTAACTCATTTAAATTGTTATCTAATTTAAATTAACTCTTAAGTATAAAAAACAACAAATTATTTTTAAAAAATACCCAAATGTTAAGCCAGAGTGAAATATAGGCCTATCATAAAACCGATTTGATGCCTCTAAAACACAAAATGTTTTAGAAGTAACTGATTTAAAAGATTCATAGCTTTTAATATAGTTTTTATAGTTTTTTTTTTTTATAGTATTATAGTTTTTTTTTGTGGAAAACTGACATTTAAAGTTGGCATTAGGTCATCACCTTGTAGTCAAATACGCCACCTGGTGGAGAATAAACCACATGACACGTAGCTCCTATAGGATACAACTATTTAGTTCAGTGGGTTCATAGTTCATAGTTGTCAATGCAACCGGAAGGCCTAAGCATGTAAACAATACCTCATAACCTCTACAGGGTTATAGTACCTGACAACCTCTACTGTATGTGACTCACTTGCTAAAATAAATCAATAAATACATTCAGCCTAGGACGCTATTATATTATAAAAGCACTATAGAACAGTATATTAAAACATATTCATCTATTTATAATTCATATATACAAACAAAATATTGCATATTTGTTAATTCACCTATGAAATATTTTCTAATTTACTTTGAACTCAAATTAATTAGCAATTAATTAGTAAATTAAGCAAATAGAGATACAAGTATATTGATTAGGAATAATTTTATGCTTTGGGACATCATTTTTTTAGACACTACGCTACAATTTATACATCCATTTGTACAGATGCTCTATCATAACAGCACATTTAACTGAAAGATACTAGACAGAATTAAATCTAGGCCTACTATAATCAGGTCCTCTCATTTTCTCAACAATGCAAATATTTACTTTCCATTTTAACACGTTGATTTTTCCACGTAGGGATATTGCATTTATCATAAACATGTACAATTCTTCTGAAATCCTTACATTGAGTGAAGCCTAGAATAATAAGTAGTACTTACTGTATTTCAACATTATGTGGAGTGAATAACTCTAATCAATCACCTCTGTCTTCCCCTTTTTCTCTCCCTGCTTTTCCGTTTTCTTCCTCCACCCTCCCATCTTCATCACACAGCGGTCAGTACACTCGCATGAAGTTATTTCAATTGTATTAATAGAGAGATTTACCTTGCCTGATCCCAAATCTCCAAGCGGACGATGATATTCGGTGAAAAGATCCTTTGGTCAATCTCAAATACACCAGAGCATTTTCGGATTATTTCTGGTTTCTGCCTGTGACGGGAAGGAGCAAAGCAGTCCATTGGCTCAAGCAAATGTCAGTGAAACTAGAGATCACCTTACCCAGCCTAGCAGACAGCCTGGGCACAATGGACCCTTTTTAGATGGCCTGCTGAAGAGGTGGACTCAAAGTAACAAAATCAACATGCCGCAGAAATTCCTCCAACCTGGTGGATTTTGCCCAGCAGTTCCCTCAAGTGGACATGCGTAGCATAGATTATTGGAATTGGCATAAATATGGGATATTATTTGGGATTGAGTCAAACTGTTCACCTGAATATCACATGACCGCATTGATCCCCAACAACAGAAGGTGCTTAAAGGAGCATAATGAGGAACTTCAGTGGGACAGGCTCGACGTCCTGCTCTAGGCCTGTGTGCTCCTTAAAGCACCTCTGTTGCAACCTTCATTAATATCTAATATCTCATTCCAGGCATGCAATTAATTGTATTTACTGATGAATACTGGACAGTGCATGTTATAACTCTTTTTGCAGACTATTTTGCATGTTTGTAGTTTGAAGGAATGATTTTAAAATGAGCTACTGCACATAAGAATCTTAGAAAGAGGGGATAGTCAAACCCTGTTTTTATTAATTCACTTTTCTTTGTGCAGTTATGTTCATGTTTATGGTGATGAGTGTAGAACTCAAACCTGAAAATGCACCCTGCATAACACACATATGAAAAGCAAATGTTCTTCATATGAATTATGTTAGACTTTGAACCATAGGTCTGTGTCTGATTATATTTGTCCATAAATAGGGCCCCAGGGGACCAAAAGGACCCAGAGGTGACAGGGTAAGTTTACACCATTGTTTTTCAGAATTAAAGTTAGATTTAAAATAGGTATTTCAGAGCATTATTACAAGGTGTTTCACTAAACCGTTATCTATAAGGACATAATATGGACAGGAAAAGAGCTATTAAGTATGTTTTGTATAGTTTCAGTTTCACTACACTAGCATAGTGGCTAGTTCATGTCAACACTACAGATTTACATCACATTTGAGCAATCATAACTAGCTTAATTGTGTTATTTGTTCTTGTTTTACATAGGGTCCTAAAGGACCAGATGGAAAACCCGGCAGACCTGGACTGAATGGGCCTCCAGGCCCTCCTGGCCCCCCTGGTCTTGGTGGAGTAAGTTTCCATTTCCATTTTATCCACACATTTTTTTTTTTCATCATAGCGGGTGAGTGATTAAAGTTTGCGGATATATTCGAGGCTTATGCTCCTCCCGTTGACCCATGACCGAGTCATATTTAACATTTGACCTTTAACCTTTGCCCTGAACCTTGGCCTTAAAATGGCTGTGAGCTTTATTTATTTACACTGCAAGGATAGATACATTTAGAGAATATCATTTCTGAATATGTATAATGGAATATTGAGTATTATTAAGGTGTAATTAATTTTACTTAATTACTTTTGTAGAACTTTGCTGCTCAATATGATGGTGGGAAAGGATCTGACCCTGGCCCTGGACCAATGGTGAGTTCATGTCATTTAAAATCAGCTTCAATTCTATTTCAGTTGTGAATCCTTTCTGCTAAAATTAATATTAACTAGTTTATATTAACTGTGTATTAAATTCTTGAACCGTCTTTGCCGTATTACTGTTGCAGAGTCCTGCAAATTAAAGATTGGACCTTTTATTTTAGATAGGCCAATGTTCGTTATAATATAAACATTCACTCATGTTTACTTTCGCTTTCTCAGGGTTTGTCCGGACCCAGAGGCCCAGCCGGACCCCCTGGTGCCCCTGTGAGTATCTCAATCTCTTTAACTCGATTGCAAATGTAGATTTGATTCTGTTTCAATAACAATGGAAAGACAATCGAGTGATTTGGACTAATTATTAGTTCAATAATCAGTCATTTCATCAAATATCATTTTACATATAGCCTGTGAGTATTTAAAAACTAAATTTCGACATTCTTGTATTCATTTTCCCATGAATATATAGGGACCTCAAGGATTTCAAGGACATGCTGGTGAGCCTGGAGAGCCCGGACAGGCTGTACGTATTCTTGGTCAACACTGTTTCGCACAGTTTGGAAATGACCAACTTAAAAGCTGATTTTTCCCCCTCTGTCATCTCATAACAGGGAGCTATTGGTGCTCGTGGTCCTCCTGGACCTCCTGGCAAAAATGGTGAAGATGTGAGTGCTGTAATATCACGAGCTAATACTGTAACGATAAGTTGAACTGTGTTTTGACCTCCTCTTTTATATTTCTCTCTAAGGGTAACAATGGCAGACCTGGAAAACCTGGAGATAGAGGAACACCTGGATCACAGGTGAGGCATCAAACTATACTTTTTTTCTTTGAATCAAGCATGTTTGTATCTACCTCAGTAAGGAGCTTCATTGCTCTTTCTTCTACAGGGTGCCCGTGGCTTCCCAGGAACTCCTGGACTCCCTGGCATGAAGGGACACAGAGTAAGTGCTCAGTGACATTGTAATTTTTCAGACATCAATTCCAACATTTCTCACAGAAGATATACTGATAGTTTTCAGAGACTGACATGTTTTGTAAGTAATCTCCTAAATAGCCATGATCTTCGTTTCTTGTTCATCAGGGTTACACTGGTCTTGATGGACGCAAAGGAGAGCCTGGTTCAGCTGGTGCTAAGGTAATAATCACACATGATGTAAAAATTTAGCACCCTAAAGTTTGTATGCCATGCCAGCTTATGTGGCTACTTTCATAGCGAGAAAAAAAGTATGAGGTTTTTACCATTTATTTTTGCTTAAAACATGATTTTTTTTTACCTCCAAAATGTTAATTGATTAAAAAAGGTTTCTCACAGGTTTGGAAAAAAATTTTGAATGGCACTCTAAAGCATCTCAGACTATAAAGAAATACACATGCCACTTTCACATAAAGTAGTGCAATTGAAGTGCAATTCAAAAGAGTTGAAAGACTGACTTTGATGTATGAAAGGTGCTATAAAAAATAACAAGCATTATTATTATTGATAACATTACTCATATCGTAAAGCACTTTTTTTAGACCGTATAATGAATAACTCATATTTTAAAGGCTTTTGTTTGTCTCTTTTCAACAGGGTGAGAATGGTGCTCCTGGATCAAACGGAACCCCCGGACAGAGAGTAAGTCAAATATATTGTTTTATCAGATCATATTCAAAGCTTATGCCAATTATGACTGCAGCACAAATGGCCTTAAATGCATACCTACTTGAACTCTCATTCCTCTTGTTGCACAGGGTGGTCGTGGTCTTCCTGGTGAGAGAGGTCGTGCTGGTCCTTCTGGCCCAGCTGGTGCTCGCGGTGCTGATGGCAACACTGGTCCTGCTGGCCCTGCTGTGAGTGGATTGGCTGCCCTTTGACCCCTCTGTCTCCTAAAATGTGCCTTATAATCCTGTTGACATAACACATTTTCTCTCCTCTCAGGGTCCTTTGGGATCAGCTGGACCTCCCGGATTCCCTGGTGCCCCTGGACCTAAGGTATGAGTGACAACTGGTGAATTAATTCTAAGAGAAGCTGATACTGGCTGTTCATGTCATTTGATTAGATATCATATTATACATATGCCTTTTCTTAAAGTGATAGTTCATAATTAAAAATCAATCATAATTTACTCCTCCTCAAGTAGTTCCAAACTGGTATGATTTTCTTTCTTCTGCTGAACACAAAAAATATATATTTTGAAGAATGTTGGTTGAATGAATCAATGATGGTACCCATTGACTTCCATAGTAGGAAAACAATACTATAGAAGTCAATGGCTATCGTCAACAGTCTCCCTGCCAAACATCCTCTTTTTCGTTCAACAGAAAAAAATAAAGAAAAAAATAAAACTCATACCGGTTTGGAACAATTTGAGGAGGAGTAGATTATACTTATATTTATACTTTTTGGGTGAACTATTCCTTTAATTCGTCATAGCAACCGTCCTTCTTTTTCAATCTGTAATTTGCAGTGTCTATAATATTTCACAGGGAGAAGTTGGACCTGCTGGTCCCAATGGCCCATCTGGACCTCAGGGACAAAGAGGAGAGCCAGGCTTGAACGGTCCTGTGGGCCCAGTTGGACCCCCTGTAAGTGCATTTAAAATATTTGCAGAGAAATTAATCTGATTTTCATTAAGAAAATAATAATAATTTGTCTCTATGTATTTTTTCAGGGTAATCCTGGTGCTAACGGTATCAATGGTGCTAAGGGAGCAGCTGTGAGTTTCCAAATTACTTAATTTGAACAAGAAATATACTAATCATTTTACAGATTCAACTGAATTATAGTAAATAATTGGCAAATAGTTTTGACTAATACTAGTTACTTATATAATGAATCCATGATGTACTCGCTACGTTATGCCTATAATAAATTTTTATATTCGAGCGGAATGACAACCGCTGAGGAGTAGCCCAGGAGTAGTACCTGCGTCTCACATAAACACGCATCCAGTTGTGTTTATTAATGGATAAAGCGAAAAAGTTACATAGTGTACCTTTAAGTTTAAAACTAGTGTACTTTTGCAATTACTCTACCATCTTTACTCAGTGCTTTATCTTAAAATAACACTTCTATGAATCCAACATTCGTGTGAAAGTGTTTGTTCTTATTTCTTTTTTTTAAATATATATTTCTGATGTCCTCCACAGGGCCAGCCTGGCATTGCTGGTGCCCCTGGTTTCCCTGGCCCAAGAGGAGGCCCTGGCCCCCAGGGACCTTCTGGAGCTTCTGGCCCAAGAGGTCTTTCTGTGAGTACCATGTGATTTGTCACAATGTGTATTAATGATTGTTAGCTGCCATTTCAGGGTTTTGGCTGAAAAAAACAAAAAAACAAAAAAAACAAGCTGGAATGTTTTAGAGAAACTATTACTTTAAAAAGCCTGTTCACAGTCACACCAAGAACGATAACTATAACGATAACCATATTAGTGTCCACACCAAAGCACGATAATCGTTTCTCTGACGCTTTAAATGCTAAATCTCTTTAAACAAGGATGGATTCTGATTAGCTGTCAATTATTTTGATCCTTCATCAGCTCATGATCGTGATTTCAAAGACATCATTATAGCTGTCAGCCTTAACAGATTCATTATCAGAAATTCTGAACGTAAAATCCAGGATTAATTATATTTAAAAGAGGACACGTTTTCAATTGATAACACTCCCACACCTAGAAAATGATCCGAAATTGAACAACAATCATTATATTGAAGGATTTTGCAGTCAAATGTATATTGCTTAGATCAACAGTAACATAATTACATAGGTCTTTCTTTAGGTCTATACAGTCATTTATATTTAATCAATATTTTACAAAAAGACAATATGTTAATTAAAAGTAAGATTCAGAAGTTTTGAAATGTTAAAAGTAGTATGAAAGTTGTTCTATTAAATCATCCCAAGCAAAAGGTCATTTAAAATCTTCTTTTGCTGTTTTGTTTTTCATTTCGTTGCATCACTGCTGTCTATATGTTCATGCATTCATTTTTAATAATGAAATTCTGATTTGTACATCTCATAAGTAGAACAATGTAACAGTCTAACCTTTTAACTGTTTTGCTGCTCAGGGTGACCCTGGACCCGTTGGAGTGAAGGGAGATTCTGGTGTCAAGGGTGAACCTGTGAGTAAACAGTCTCAGTCATCTCGACATATTTTATGTAGTCTGTACATTAGCTGAAATGTCCTTGTTCACCTTCCTGTACAGGGTAGTGCTGGTCCTCAGGGTCCCACTGGTCCTTCTGGTGAAGAGGGCAAGAGAGGCTCAACTGGAGAGCAGGGATCGACTGGACCCTTGGGAATGCGTGGACCTAGAGTAAGTTTGTAACTTATTTTATGATGTGTAAGGGGCACCTCCATTTGAATTGTAAATGTCAGAGAAATTGTCACATTAAGAGTGTCACAGGGCCAAAACCAAAATAATAAACATGTACGATCACCACTTTTAGTTGGTTAAGAGGACACGGAACAGATCTGAACGAAAATGTACAGAAAATTAAAAAAGAAAAAAAATACAGTGGATTATGTGATTTCTTCCCGTAAAATAATGCTAAAAATCTACTGAACTTGATCCTACACTCTAAAAAAAGCTGGGTTGTTTGAACCCAATTTTGGGTAAAATATGGACAAACCCAGCCATTGGGTTAAAAATGTAATTTAAAAATGTAACCCAATGGCTGGGTTTGTCCATATTTTACCCAAAATTGGGTTCAAACAACCCAGCATTTTTTAGAGTGTATGGTTAATTTTTAGCATACAGTATACTCATATGTAATTGGTTATTATTATTTATTTTTTATTAATCGATGTAAATTTATGTTTCTTGCAGGGAGCCGCTGGTAGTCGTGGTCTGCCTGGCCTGTCTGGCAGATCGGGCCCAATGGTAAGCTTCAAGTTATATTAAAAGTCCTGTTTTGTATTGAATCAAACTACAGTAGTGGCCAAAAGTGACGTCTGGAGATGGTGTTTGTTTTTAGCGGTCCTAAAAGTTTGATTAAACCATCAAAATCTGAGGACAATGTTTTATGTATACTTTTTTTGGTTTTTATCTGACAAAATGATTTGGCCAAAACAGCAAACTACAGCTACATTTTACTTTACGATTTTAAAAAAAAGCTCACAGGAAACAGCATAACAACATAACATATTAAAGGAGTAGTTCACTTTTAAAAAAACTATTGCTGATAATTTACTCACCCCCATGTCATCTAAGATGTCCACGTCATTCTTTCTTCAGTCGAAAAGAAATTAAGGTTTTCAAAGAAAACATTCCAGGATTTTCTCCATATAATGGACTTCAATGGGTACCCAATGGTTGAAGGTCCAAAAGGCAGTTTCAGTGCAAACTGTTCAAAGGGCTTTAAACAATTCCAGACGATGAATAAGGGTCTTATCAAGCGAAACGATCGCTCATTTAAAAAAAAAAAAGTTTGTGTTTTATAAACTCAATTGGTCGCCTTGCTCTGTTGTGATGAGCATTCCTGACTCTCCTGTTCAAACTCGATCATCAAAATGAACGAATCTTTTTCCGAGTCAATTCGTTCATTTCATTTGTTGAATTAACTAAATGACACTAAAAAATGTTTTTTGATAAACGAGTTCGAACAGGAGAGTCACGAACGTGCATCACAGAACAGAGCAAGATGACCATTTGAGCTTATAAAACTTAAATGTTTTTTTTTTTTTAAATGAGCGATCGTTTCGCTTGATAAGGCCCTTATTCATCGTCTGATATCGTTTAAAGCCCTTTGAACAGTTTGCAGTTTGCACTGAAGCTCTCATTTGGACCTTGAACCATTTGGTTTCCATTGAAGTCCATTATATGGAGAAAAATCCTGGAATGTTTTCATCAAAAACCTTAATTTCTTTTCAACTTAAGAAAGAATGACATGGAAATCTTGGATGACATGGGGGGAGTAAATTATCAGCAATAGTTTTTTTTGT